GGGGAGACAGTGGCTGACTTTATTTTGTGGGCTCCAAAATCACTGCAGATGGTGATTGCAGCCATGAAATTAAAAGATGCCTGCTCCTTGGAAGAAAATCTATGACCAACCTAGACAGCATGTTAAAAAGTAGAGACGTTACTTTGCCAACAAAAGTCCATCTAGTCAAGGCTGTGGTTTTTCCAGTGGTCATGTATAGATGTGAAAGTTGGACTATAAAGAAAGCTGACTGCTGAAAAATTGATGCTTTTGAACTGTGGCATTGGAGAAGACTCTTGAGAGTCCAAGGGACTGCAAGGAGATCCAACCAGTCCATTCTAAAGGAAATCAGTCCTGAATATTCATTGCAAGGACTGATGCTGAAGCTGAAACTCCAATACTCAGGCCACCTGATACAAAGAACTGACTCATTTGAAAAGACTCTGATGCTTTGAAAGATTGAAGGCAGGAAGAGAAGGGGACAACAGAGGAAGAGATGGCTAGATGGTGACTCGATGGACATGGGTTTGAGCAAGCTCCAGGAGATGTGATAGACAGGGAACCCTGGCGTGCTGCGGTCCGTGGGGTCACAAAGAGCTGGGCACAACTGAGCGACTGAACGGAAGACTGTTTAATCAGAAATTTTAGCAATATCAGAGACATTCAAACTATCAGGACATCATAAACTTGTTTGAAACCCCATCCTGTTTTCACGCTCAGTTCTCCTAAGCAGTGTCGGACATCCCCTTATGAATTCTCCTCTGCTCTAAGGCTGTGTAGTTGTCTCCTACCTGGAAGCAGGCTGATGCTTTTCCTATTCTCATTCAATGTCTCTCTTCTCTGCTGCTAAATCCCTTGGAAATGACAGTGTCCAACTGTCAGATAAACAAAGATTTTCACTCTTCTCTCTCCTTTGGCACCAGGGGTAACTCCTGGGACAACTCTGTCAAGGAAGCCACAGTGTCCTAAGAACTGAAATGTTTCTTTTTCTTTCTCAGCAGAGTCCAAGTTTTGAGCCATCCAAAGGCTCCTAGCCAGCTGAGACATCATCTTCAGTCAGGACTCTCTCCGCAGACTGCCCTTTCTGCTTGTCAGGGACCAGCGTTCCCACATGTCTACCACACCTGAGGCACCCTGGACCGTATCAGCTGCTACAGGCTTCTAAGACCTCTCTACTCAGCGTGGTCTGCCGCCTTTCCTTCCTTCTTTTTAATTTGTAGGAAGATGTAGGAAGCTACAGAAAAACTATTCTTTTTCTGCCTTCAAGAGTGTGTGGTAAGCGGGCCTGTATGGCCCACTTACTCTGAGATTTTTCTCAAGGATTTTACCAGCTGAGAAGACAGTTGGCTTAGAGAGGAGGAATTCTCAACAATTTTGCTTATTTCCCTTTTTTTTTTTCCTTCTCACAGCAGAAGGAATGGCATTGGCTTCATTTTCTTCTTGTCAATGATTCAATAATATTTTTTGTATGATGACTATATGTGTGGAAAAAATACAGTCTGGGAATTTACATGTTCTAGAAATATACTGGTGAATAAAAGACACCAAGCCTCTGCACTCATAAATCTTATAGTTCTCAAAACTAGTAGAAGAACAAATCAGGCCAATCATCTCTCCCGACCACTGAATACTGACCTTCCCTTCCCGCATCCTAAGTTACTTCTGTCCAGGCTCCTCTGTTCACAGGGATTCTTCAGGCAAGAACACTGGAGTGGGTTGCCCCGCTCTCCTCCAGGTGATCTTCCCAACAGCAGGAATCAAACCCACATCTCTTACGTCTGCTGCATTGGCAGCCTAGTTCTTTGCCACTAGCACCACCTGGGAAGCCCAAATAGTGACCTTACCCCTCCTAGATTTTCACTTCTGTCAAAGAGGCCGGGGGACACAGATATTCCTTTATGTAATGATGGTGTTTTGGTCTGTAGGTACTTCTTATATAATGGAATTTGTCCAGACACCTCTAAAATAATTCTCAGCCACTTCTATTTTCTGTAATTATATGCAAATCTTACTGAAAATATCAGGGCACGATCTGACTTCCCTACTCCAATTCACTCCTGTAGGTGAGGAGATTTATAAAATGCATGAAAATATATAGAGTGACACAAAAATACAAAGCTAAATATCTGCAGTAAAGAAATGCAAATTAACTTAACCACCATATTATTTTCCTAGCAGGAGATTCTAGCTAATATGAAATTTTATGAGGCATCACAGCACCCATAAAGTATGGAGCATAAATAAATGAATTCCTGAACAATGTGGTATAAATTTAAAGTTACCTTTAAATATGAAAAAGAAGTCTGTGATATATATCTCCATTAGGATCTTGAATTTGTCTAACTGGTTATCACTAATGCCCTATTGAAATGCAATTGAAAATTAATATATCTGGCAGTAAAAAATATGACTATTAAGGAAAGTTCATGCATGATATTTTTATAGAGTTGCCAAGTCTCTTGAATTCAGAATGTGGGACAGATGGTCACATGGTGAATTGTTCTCACTCACTAATGCTTTCTGCTGCTTCACTGATTTTTGATCTTCAGATGACTTGTCTCATTCAGGATGTGTGGCAAATGAAAGTTTCCAATTGTCTTCATCAAATGTGAAAAATCGTAATATGTTCATGACAGAAAATCATATAAATTTTATAGATCTAAGTCAGATAAAAGCCTTCCTAAATTTCCAGGTCTTTTATGGGGAAATTTAAGTTTATAACTAAGGTGAAACTTATTTTTCTGAGAGTGTAAGATACTCAAATCCTAATTTTTCCTATGTTTTCATTTATTTAGTTATTCATTAAGTTCCTATTCAATAAAGATGTTCATTCAATTATTTTTTCACTTATGTCAGTTCAGTTCAGTTCAGTGGTTCAGTTGTGTCTGACTCTTTGCGACCCCATGGACTGCAGCACACCAGGCCTCCCTGTCCATCAACAACTCCTGGAGTTTACTCAAACTCATGTCCATCGAGTCAGTGATGCCATCCAACCATCTCATTCTCCGCTGTCCCCTTCTCCTCCTGCCTTCAATCTTTCCCAGCATCAGGGTCTTTTCAAATGGGTCAGCTCTTCGCATCAGGTGGCCAAAGTATTAGAGTTTCAGCTTCAACTTCAGTCCTTACAATGAACACCCAGGACTGATCTCCTTTGGGATGGACTGGTTGGATCTCCTTGCAGTCCAAGGGACTCTCAAGAATCTTCTCCAGCACCACAGTTCGAAAGCATCAGTTCTTTGGTGCTCAGCTTTCTTTATATATTTAGCTATAAATAGATGTATTTGCCTGTTCAGGCTATCATAATAAAATACCATTAACCGGGTGGCTTAAACATGAGATATTTATTTAGCACAGCCTGAAGAGTGGAAACCACAGATCAAGGCTCTGGCAAATTTGGTTTCTGGTGAGCTCTCTGTGGCTTGCAGGTGGCCTCCGTCTTGCTGAAGGCACGTGCCCCTTCCTCTGTGGTTTGTGGAAATAAAGAAATCCTGGTGTCTCTTCTTCTTCTTATGGGAACATCAGTTCTACCAAGTAAGGTCCCATCCTCCTGACCTCATTTAACCTTTATTTTGGAGAAGGAAATGGCAACCCACTCTGGTGTTCTTGCCTGGAGAATCCCATAGACAGCGGAGACTGGTGGGCTACAGTTCATGGGGTCACAAGAGTTGGACGTGAGTTAGCAACTAAGCCACCACCACCAACCTTTATGTGCTTCTATAGCCTCTGCTCCTAATACAGCCACATTGGAGATTAGGGCTTTCTGGGGAATTTTAGAGTGACATCATTTGATCCATAGCACTAGTATGCCCATTTTTAATCATTATAAAATAAAATGTTTCTTTTGAGATTTCACAGTAGGACATACACTCTTCTATTCTTCTCATTGCAAGTGATTATTAAAAGGTACATATTACACCTGCTGAGTGGCACAATAATCATTAACCCTGAATGGGCATAATTTTGAATCCCTGGGAAACAGGTTGTAAATATGACCTATACAAGGTTTAAATCCAAGCAGTTGATAGTGTGGTTATGAAGAAAAAGTACATTTTCTTTTAGAAGAAATCAAACCACTCTTAATTATCAGTCTTAAAATGAGATACTATTTATATTGGATCCTTCATTCATGATACCAACAAATCAGGTATTTCATGACAGGCATATGTTTTATTATACAGATGGTGACATTGAAAACAATTACTTATTAAGCTTACATTGGTTAAACACCAGTGATTCATTGCTCTTGGTTACAGCTGATAGGATGAAGGTTGTGATTTGATCTAAACAGTCAAATGAGGGTTAGTTGGATTGGTCAGAAGCCCACAAAGAGGCTGTTAATAAACCTTTACACCCACATGGATTATGGGGATAAACCGGACCCATTCTTTCTCTTAGAAATTTGAGCAGAAGTTTCTGATCAAGTGCACCAGTTGATAGGGGCACCAAAGGGGAAAGCCACAGGGAGAAGCAGTGAGCGGGTGGGTGGGCGATGGGTGGGCGATGGGTGGGCGATGGGTGGGAGGAGGAAGAGCGGAACTGTCAGCACAGAGCCCTCAAACAGGCTCTTCGGAATGCCTTCTGCAGAGGTGTGCAATAAAGAAACGAACCTTTCCAAAGGGAGGTCAGGAGTTCGCGTCTATCCCTTGAAAGTCATCTCTAAGCCCTGGGATGCCTGGCTTCCAAAAAGTGAGTCTGTTTACCTGGAGGCCTTAGACCATCATCCTGCATCATCTAACACCATAGATTACGCTGATTTACCTGCGTCAGAAGGCATCCGCTGGACTCTCAGAGCGGCTGGAGGCTGAGATGAGCCAGGTGCTCAGTCAGACTCGTCCCCGAGATGGGGCCCGACGAGGGCTCAGCGCTCAGGCTTCAGGTGAGCGCCCTCGGTTGAGTCAGTACACACGAGCCCTCCATGTATATCGTCTCACTTTGCTTCTGAAAGAATAAATGCTCTTTATGACTTCAAGAGACAGGAACTTTGGAAGGGTCATGTCTGGAACGTTCCTAGTTCCAGAACTTCTTGGCATACCTGCCAGGCGACTTGAACAAAGTCTGCTAGTAGGCGGCGTTCGTTCTTATGGATCTAGGTTGCACAGCCTTTGCCAGGTGGGGCCCAAGTACATGAATGCCTCCCGTTTGTGTTTCCACAGATGTCCCGATAGTGACCTCGGCCACTTTACCACCACTAAGGGAGTATTTGCGAGCATAGCAAAGCCGGCGTTGTAGTCCAATGCCGCTGCTGCTGCTGCTGAGTCGCTCAGTCGTGTCCGACTCTCTGCGACCCCATAGACGGCAGCCCACCAGGCTCCGCCGTCCCTGGGATTCTCCAGGCAAGAACCCTGGAGTGGGTTGCCATTTCCTTCTCCAATGCAGGAAAGTGAAAAGTGACAGTGAAGTCGCTCAGTTGTGTCCAACTCTTCGCGACGCCATGGACTACAGGCTACCAGGCTCCTCCGTCCATGGGATTCTCCAGGCAAGAACACTGGAGTGGGTTGCCATTTCCTTCTCCAATGCAGGAAAGTGAAAAGTGAAAGTGAAGTCGCTCAGTCCTGTCCGACTCTTCGCGACCCCATGGACTGCAGCCCACCAGGCTCCCCCATCCATGGGATTTTCCAGGCAAGAGGACCGGAGTGGGGTGCCATTGCCATCCAATAAGTAGTATCTATTTTAGATCTCTTTAATTTCCACTTGCAAGATGCCACGATTTGTCATGGTCTGTGACTATCCCTAAGTAAATGTAAGATGAAGGCAAGAAAACTAATAGAAATAGTTGTAGAACAGCAATAAAAAGTTGCTGTAGAAACTGGGTTCTTTGAATTTAGAGGAAGCATATTCAAAGGTAGCTGGTAAGCTTTGTAAGAGGAGAAATGATTTCAGCCACTGTGATGCCTGCCAAAGCTTTAGGCAGTTCTTTCGCACGGATGTGTACACATGTGCATGTGAGCTCAGTCGCTCAGCCGTGTCCCACTGTTTGGGACCCCGTGGACTGCAGCCCGCCAGGCTCCTCTCCATGGCTTTTACCAGGCAAGAATACTGGAGTGTGCTGCTATTTCCTCCTCTAGGGGAATCATTCTGACCCAGGGATTAAACCCACCTTGCCTTCAAATCCCTCATTTGCAGGCAGATTCTTTACCACTGAGCCACCTAGGAATCCGGTTTACATGGATTATCTCATGGAAAAATGTCTGTCCTGTGACTCATTTCCTTGAGATCTGATTCCTTTCTTTCCAAGGAAATATGTTGATAATATGATAAATTCATCCTTGTTGGGTTATGCGGTATTGTTGGCTTAATAACCACTTGGTAATAACTTTTACAATTTGGGGAAGATCTTTTGTACTATGTATCTACTGATCAAAGAAACATCTCTAAAAAGGCAAATCTTTAGGTAGACCAAGAGTGGGAATCTTTGGCTACTGTGTTTTTAGAAAGGCACTTTTAGGAGACCTGTGTTCTGTCCTGCCACTAATGAACTGTGAGACTTCAAACAAAGGATTTGATCATCATCTGTATCCTCAACTGTAAAATGAGAGTAGTCCAGTCTTAGACACAGGGCCACTCTGCCAAAGACTAACAACATTTTCTCTATGGAGGGTGACCATAGGTCAAGGTTTGCCAGGGACAGCAACAATTTATGTGTATTGCCCCAGCAGGTTAATTAATAATTAAGTATATCCTCTTCACACTCAAAAGCAGCCTAATTGGCTTAGTATTGTATCTAAGCCAATTTTGTGCCTAATGCCTAGTTTACAGGAAACTTTATCATTATTGTTCTGATAACCTCGGAGAGATGAGCTTCGGTAAGACTTACCTGCTCAGGGATCTGCAGCTAAACCTCACCCCAGATTATTAGTCAAACTCTCCACTGCCTAACATAGGAGTCAGTTACAGTTATACTGTAAAAATTTCTGAAAGTTGTTACAATATAACTGAGCCATTTTACCCAAAATGTCTTCATATAAAAGTTCTATGTCAAAAATAATTAGATTGGTTTTAGGAAGCCAATATATTTTTCTTTCATTCTTTACTCTCTCTGCCCCCTATCCTTCAACCCTGCCAATACTGTAAATAAAAAGGGAGCAAAAGTTATCTAACTCTAATTATCTTGGTTTACATTTTCCTCAATTCATTGAAATCTTTCCTTTCTGAAAAATCCCCTCCATCCAGGAGACTCCAGTGAGCATATTCATGTTTCAAACAAATCTGCCTCTGTTAATTATCAAAAGGTATTTTCTTTAGTAAGTGAAGCTCGGCAGGCCCTGCAGCTGTTTTGTTTATTTTATAGCCAGCACAAAGACAGTTTATTTTTTAAAATACTATAATTAGATTAGTGTTCTCTTTACTGAAGCATCTGTAGGAAAATGAGAGTGTGTTTCTTTGAATGAATGAGCAGTCGCATTTATTTTTATTAAATCTGAACTTGTCCTCCGAGATAGCAGAATTTAATTTTATGTTCTAATACTACATGTAATATTCCGACTTTTTTTCAGATAAAGCTCTGGTCGCCCCAAAAAGGAGGTTGGACTAAATTGAATCTTCTGATTCCAATTTTATGAACTGCATTAAAATCTCTCTAGGGTGCCGGATTACGTCTGTGTTGAAGAATGACTACTTTAAGGTATGTATTTGCATACATAAACAAATATATCTGATGGTTATCTATGACCTGTCACTGACACAGGGAGTGTCATGGAATATAATAGCATTATACCTTTGTTATGACTTTGCATGTCTTTACTAAAAAGTTTTAGAAGTGCTGCTTATGAATCAGATTAAGATCCAAAATAGAAACATTTGAAAAAGTTTTGGAGACTGGTTTATCAACATTGCATCTATAAAACTGCTACTTAGAACTGTCTAGACAGCAGTTAAATTGCCCAGGGAATAAGGCATCACCTCTTGACCAGACACCTTTTCTTTCTACTTTGGCATTGCCAAAACGGAAAGTATACTCCTTTCTCTATGCTCCTTTTGTCTTCATTGATCAAAACAATTTTCGTGATATTATACCTTTGACAATAAAAAAACTCTTCCAGTTTTCTGTTGTTGGGTAACAAATCTCCAACTAAGCAGCTTGGAACAGTTTGTGATTGCCTTTCCTGGTCTGTGGGCTCACTGGGTTCTGCCGGGTGGCCTTGCTTGGTGCTTCCCAAGCAGTACAGTGATGGCGTGGCTCAGACCCAAGTTAACTGAAGGCTCAACAGGGCTAGACATCCAGGTGGGCTTTGTATCCCACTAACTCACTTTTCAGCTGAAATGGTTTGAACCAGAGCAGGAAACTGACCAGTTAATCTTTCTCCACCCTTCTTCTGGAGTGCCTTTTCTGTGTGACCCTTCAAATGACTATTTTGGGCTTCCTCACACCATGTCCATCTCAAAGTGAATAAGCTTCTTACATAGGAAGTAGTTTCACCCAGCCCAAGTGTTCTAAAAGCTCAAGGCAAATGCTGTGTGCCTTTAAGCTAACTTTGAACATCATGGAGCATTGATTCCACTGCCTTCTATTTTCTGAACAAGGACCATTATAGGCTCAATGCGGGAGGGAACTTCTTAAGTAAGTTAAGATTCATTGAAATGTGGGGAGGAAAGGGCAGAATTTTTGTAGACAAACTAGCACAAAGCAAAAATTTATTTTTATTAAAGTTTTTTAAAAATTAAAATAAATTTAGTTACAATAAATAATAAATGTCATCCATGCCTCAAGTGGATAATTTTTCTAAAGAGTTTTTTTTAGAATGTTAATGTCTTTTAATGCTTTTACCTCCTTAAATAACAATAGATACTTTTTCTATTTAATTTTATTTATTTTCCCTTTTAAGTATACTTTTGTACTTATTTTCTATTACTTTAAAAAGCAATTTTCTTTAAATAACGTGTTAAATGCCTCTATGGGATGTGCTAAACATAGAGGCTATCATAGCCAGTGACAGAATTCTTAGTCAATTTGGGGACATAATTTATTTGTGTCTTAATGAATTCACATAGGCAAACATCCAAGCAATAATACAACTTGCTGCAAATAATAATAGAAAGTTTTGATAAAATATCTTTATGATTGCATTAAGATCTAACAAAGGAATATATTACTTTCTCAGTATCAGCAGTAGGTTCCAGAATTTTATGCTAATTTTGAGCTATAATTGTTAATATCTGTAAATGGAAAGTAGAGGTTGGATATGAGGGCCATCTTTCACTAATCGCCAGGGTTGATTGGGCTGATTTCGCTGGCTAGGCGGGTGTCTCCTTCCTCACCACTCCAGGTGTGTTCCTTTCAAAGCTACGTGTCCAGTGGAAGAGGATAACCGTCTCCCATAGAGGAGAACCGTTCTTTGGTCAATGGGATATGAGTAGCTATACTACCCTGCTAGAAACTCCAAACACATTCTCAAGGTCGACTGGTAGGAGAACATAGGATCATCAAATTTCCAAGATTCCAGACACATCCAAATGAGGTGCTACATGTGGCAGTCTGCCTTTCTTAAAAAATAGAGAGAAAGAATAAAAGAAAAGAAAATAGAGGTTAATTCATTTCAAACCATGTTTGGGGCATTAGAATAATTTCTATTCAGTAATTTCTTATTCAATTTCTACATCTCTTCATATTTAAAAGCATTAGAGACCTAAGAAAATATATTATTCTAATTATAATTTCTAAGAAATATAGAAAAATTTTCTTACCTAGATGAAAATAATATAAATTCTATGGAGTGGAAAGTTATTAACTTAAAACAAATAATATGGAATCTTTAAAAACTACACAAATTATTCAGTAATATCTTTCAAAAGTAGCTTTGTTTTTCTGAAATATGGTCTTACTATTTGAATCACTAAATGTAAAGTGAATGCAATCATCATTTCCTTGTAACTTCCTCCCAAAACCATGTGAGCTGTAAACACAGATTACCTTTTAAAACAAAAGCTTAGAGAAAGTTCTAAAAACAATAATGAGAGCAATACAAATTATTGGAATCTATATTTTTCCACAAATAAACTGATCACAAAATTGTTCTGGTTGAGATTCACTTTTTTAAAACTGATGTTATACCCAAGAGAAGGTTCACATAAGATATTCACTGAAATTTAGGAATAGAAAATTTATTATACATGTTTTATATATGTATCATAAATCCAAAAATAAGCTATATAGTGAAATAGCAGACAGAAGGAGAGATTAAAAAGTAATAAGTGGAAAAAACTCCTTGAAATATATTAAAAAAAAAAAAAAGCCAAACTAACAATCAACAGAAATAAGTAGAGGTGGCCACTGGGATATATGTTTAATGAACTGAGTAAGTTAGAAAAAATATTGATAGAGAAATTCTTTTTTAGAAGTTCTGATAAGAGGGGATCTTTTACAGGCAAATTTAACATATAGAATGTAAAATGTTGCCAGAAAAAAAAAATCATAGTCTGTAAGCCAATTTTAACCTTGAAGTAAATCTGCTGCTGCTAAGTCGCGTCAGTCGTGTCCAACTCTGTGCAACCCCATAGACGGCAGCCCACCAGACTCCTCCGTCCCTGGGATTCTCCAGGCAAGAACACTGGAGTGGGCTGCCATTTCCTTCTCCAATGCAAGAAAGTGAAAAGTGAAAGTGAAGTCGCTCAGTCGTGTCCGACTCCTGGCAACCCCATGGACTGCAGCCTACAGGCTCCTCCGTCCATGGGATTTCCCGGGCAAGAGGACTGGAGTGGGGTGCCATTGCCTTCTCCGTGAAGTAAATCACAGGGTTCTAAATTAGATCCATCAAGTGAGGTTGAATATTACACCTTTATTTTATATTCTATTCTTCTGAAACTATAGTCCAATATCTCCTTTACCTGTTTTGAGAGCTGATTTTCATTGACTGATGGCCTCAATGATTTTTTCTCTAAAATAATAACAAAAAACAGTCTATTTGTAAATAGATATATGAAATGACAATTTCATTCAGTTTAATATTTTATCTCTGTGTGTTCTATTCCTAGATAAATTTGTACCAGACTTGTCCTGAACACTCCACACAATGAAAAGCATTATCTTCTATCTTTTGGCATAGTTTTAAATTCTTACAGAGTGATTAAATTTAACAGGCTTTTTTGTTTTGCAGCTCAGATTTACATGGCAAGATGCTACAGTAAAATTTTAATATGCCTCAGTTATCTTTTAGTAAGGTATTTTCATGATTAAAACACATATTTGAGAAATGCTCATGAGTGTTCTGTATTCTGGGCCCAGTGGAAAAGCTTCTGTGAAAAGATGTATTTTTAATATGTGTGCATGTGTGCTAAATTGCTTCAGTCCTGTCCCACTCTTTGTGACCCTGTGGACTCTAGGCTGCCAGGCTCCTCTGTCCATGGGATTCTCCAGGCAAGAATACTGGAGTGTGTTGCCATGCTTACCTCTAGATACTTAAAAGTGTGTCTTATTTCAGCCCACAATTGCTTGTGTTGAGCCTGACGTAATTTGGGACTCAGTCCATTCTCGGACTGGGGACTTAATGGCTCAAGCTCTACCTTGGGGCATCCTTGAAATGTGACTTTCTCCAGTTGTTCCACAATAACTCAGAACGTGAAAGCTGCCTAGAAGTCCTCATCTTTTCCTTTCCCATCATAGTCCCTCCCTACGGGACGTTTCATCATCATGAGCATTGATTCAAGTTGGTAATTTGTCATTCTCAATTGTGTTGGCTGTGATCTTGTATTGCTCATTGGTAATTTCAAATAAACTACTCAGGAAATCCATTTTGTCCATTCTGATATCCTCCTATTCTTTCCAACATGGTTGAGACTCTCTGAGGGAAGCATGCAATAGTTATTTCTTGGCAAAAAATATTTATTTTTCCTTTTAAATATCTTCTGAATTGGGGATCAACCAAGGATTGTCTCTATCCAATTAATTCTGCTTCAATAAAATATAAATAATAATCTACTTCATTAGCCTATAGAATAATTTTCTAATTAATGTAGCTCCTAGATAATATAATACCTTGCAAATAATAAGTACTAAATAAATGTTGAATAATTATTTTTTCATTTTAAATAGTTGCCTTAAACAAACTTATTTTTACTGCTTTTTTTTGAAGCCCTTAAAGATATATGTTCAATTGACCATTACAGAGATATTTTTATCACCATTAATTTCTCATTTATATTTCTATCAAATTCTCATTGTTATTGGTTACTATTGCTTTTATTCAAGTTATTTTATCATAAAAATAATTGCATGTACATTGGACAAAATGTTTAGTACAGAAGTTCCTTGGAATCTGCAGAAGGATTGATTCCAGGACCCCTGTGGATAGAAAAATCTGCAGATGCTTGAGTGCCTTGTATAATATGGCACAGTTATTTGCATATAACCTACTCACATCCTCCCATATATTTTAAATCATCTTTAGATTAGTTTTACTACATAATACAATGTAAATGCTATGTAAATAGTTGTAAATACAATGTAAATGCTATGTAAATAGTTGCCAGCATGAGGCAAATTAGAGTTTTGCTTTTTGGAACTTTCTGAAAATTTTTTTTTCTTTAATATTTTTGATCTGCAGTTGGTTGAATACAGAGATACCAAACCTGCAGATACGGAGAGTCAACTGTATTAAATTATATAGCAGGAAGCATTTTTAAATCACT